GACGCAGCCCGGGGAAGGGGCCTAAACTAGACAGAACCACCTCGGCCACCTCAGAGCAATGGCAGCAGTTCTGACCGTATGGGAATACATTATTGGCTGCAAAGACATGGAAACAATGGCCTCATCTACCACCTCCAAGCCTGGGTCTGAATCCTAGCCCTGCCCTCTGGAACGTCTTAAGTCTTTTTTCAGTTCAATAACCTCCTTTACAAAATGGCAGGGATAACCGTACCGAACTCGGGGGGCTACGGCGAAATCAAGTAATCTGATCTACACAACAGTTCTACAATGAGTGAGAACAGAATGAGAAAGCCATTTCTCATGTTTCACAGTACAGGGACTGGGGAGCAGGCTTTGAAGACTCAGTATGACTAACAGACTATCAAGTATTCATAACTGTATCACTTCTGGTTGGCCACTGTGGCACTAGGTGCATGGGAGTTCTGAAGTCTGTACCTTCTAAACTTGATGGAAGAAATGAAAACTTGAATCCACCTGTTTATTTTTAACTTTTAAAAGATTATTGTTATTATTATTGTTGTTGTTTTTATTTTATTTTTATTGTGAGTGTGTGTCTCTGTGTGTGGATGAATATATGTGTGGGGCGCATGTGCCATGGTGTGCAAGCAGAGGTCACACACGTGGAGAGCTTTTTGTGAGTTCTCTTCTTCCAGCATGTGGGTCCTGAGGCTCAAACTCAGCCTTGGCAGCAAAGGCCTCCACCCACTGGGCCACTCGCCAGCCCCTTATTTTTACTCTTCACATCGTATGTGGGCGTGGGCATGGGCATGTGAGCACATGTGGGCATGGGCATGTGAGCGCATGTGTCCATAGGGACAGGAAGTGGGCACTTCATCACCCGCAGCTGGAGCTACAGGCAGGGCTGGGCTGCCTGACGTGGGTGCTGGAAATAGAAGACCAGTTCTCTGTAAGAGCAGCAAGCTCTCATTCTACTAGGCCGTCTCTCTAGTTCCTGCCAGTTTCTTTTCACCTTTACAGGTAGGCTGCTAGAAATTTTAAATGACATTTATGGCTCAGGTTAGCTCCAGTGGAGAGCAGGAGACAGGAGGAAGGTAAAGTGGCAGCCGTGCAGCAGATACACCCCAGCTGATGCAGATCACGATTACAGAAAGTGGCTAACAGAGAGGGAAGACCAGAGGCCACTCTGTCCTCTCCAACTGCTGCCTGCCAGTCTAGATAAAGAGAGGGGAAACACAAAAGGGGTGAATAACAAGATAGAAGAGGACGAAATAGCAGAGGTTGAAGTGGAGAAAAGACAGCCAGGAAGGAGACATTCTCTGTGTCCAACAGAAACTCTGTCTCTGCTTGGTTTTATACACATAAATGTGTATGTATGTATGTATTTGTACACACACACACACACACACACACACACACACACACACTTGCCTGCCATTATGAAAATGACAGTCTTACAACAATCTAACCAAGTTTGGTAGCACATGGCTGTAATCTGAGCACTTAACAGGGAAGGCAGGAGCCAAAATTCAAGGTCAGACTGGATTTTATGAGCCCTTACCTGAAAACAAACAAACAAAAACTAAACTAAAAACATAAGTAAATACATAAATAATTTTAAAAGTGGCTTCAATGTTTTAAAAAAGTGCTCTTCCTAAAGAAGACCTTTTCAGTGCTGTTTGTTGAGCCTACCAAACCCAATCATACGATACTAAACTATCACAATCCCAGGTGTTATTAAGTCAGAAGAAGAAAAAGAGAATGCACAGGTTTAGGAGTTGGTTCATGATCCAAAAATTTACTCCTGGGTATTTTCCCTGCTGTAAATGAAGTGTAAAAATGCTTTGTTTGGCTCAAAGACTCAGGTAAGGAAAAGGCCTTTCATACAGGTAAGTCAAATAGAAGCATCATGGCTAGGTGGAGGTTTGTTTGCAGTAAGATGGGTGGAGACTAAGATCAAACTGAGCAGTTTGACTAGAGGCACTCTTAACTTCAAGAGGATCTTGAAGCTCAGAGCTTGACTTAGCTCAGTCTGCCTTGTGCTCAGACCCAAGGGCAGCCTAGAGCCTGCAGGCCCGCTCATCCTGAGGCCATACAGAGCAGGGGGCAGGCAAACACTTACACTACTGTAAAAGCAACGCAAGCACCATCATCTGGAAACTGTCGTCCTCATTAGTTAATTCTAAGACTAGAATAAAACAGCCTTGCCTAGGGCTCCCCAAAGTGAATAACAAACCCATAATAAGCCCATAACCCAGTAAGCCTACTGCTCAGTACAAAATCCCAGAAATGCATGCACACTTTACCAAAACTAGGCACTAGGGCAGTTACAGCAGCACTGTCTGGGGCAGACAAACACTGGAAGCTGCCTCATCGTTCAGTCCACAGCTGACCACAGATAAGCTGCACTAACCACACCCGACGACCACCATTGGCAACAACAGTGACCATGCTCCAACTACAGGGGCCTGGGGAGGCCTCTATCACTTAGTGCTTACAAAAGAAGACACACAGCGTGGGTTTCCATTTATGCACAGTGTAGGAGAAGCGAGTCAGGCCAGGGTTAGTGCAAAGGCAGTGACTGGAGACAAAGGTTCTGGTGTGTTCTGTTCCTTGACCTGAGTGTGGCACATGTGTAATAGGAAATCTGTTTGGTAATACGCTTTAGGTACCTCAATTTTCCCTGAATGTACACACATTTCTAAATGTGGAGGTTTTTTGGCTTCCTCCACAGGGGGCTGTGAATCTCCACCCCTCCAGGGGAGGCCTCTGCTAACTCACACTGCCCACACCGATCCTTGGAGCATCCTCAGCAGTTATGGTTTGTATTCAGAGTTGTTTCTCTGCCAAACCTTCCCCGCTAGACCAGCACCATGGAGCACGTTGTTAGAGGGGGCGACCATCCTCCTGGCTGCACAGACAGCGCAGAATAAAACCTTCCTCTGGAGCTGGATGGGTGTGGACGGGGACCATCTTTCTACTTCCCACATCTCTTGGTTAGTGTTTCTATTGCTGTAATACCATGACCAAAAAGCAGCTGGGAAGAGAGAGTTTGATTTCAGCTTACAGTTTCACACCCATGTCCATCACTGGGGGAAATCAGGGCAGGAACCGAAACACAGCAGTAACCTGAAGGCAGGAGCTGACACAGAGGCCGAGGTGGACCACTGCTAGCCGGCTGGTCTCCATAGCTTGCTCACCCTGCTTTTCAAGATGGGGTTTCTCTGCCCTGGCTGTCCTAGGCACACTTTGTAGACCAGGCAGCCTCGAACACAGAGATCCACCTGCTTCTGCCTCCCCAGAGCTGGGATTAAAGGCCTGCACCCCCACTCCCAGCTTCAGCCTGCTTTCTTATACAACCTACAATGAGCAGGGCCCTCCCCCCATCGGTCACTGATTAAGAAAATGTCTCAAAAGCTTGCCTGCAGGGCGATCTGGTAGAAGCGTTCATCTTTAAATTGATGTTCTCTTTTCCCAAATGACTCCAACTTGTATCAAGTTGACATTAAAAACTACCCAGCACAGCATTAATGACTCAAGGGGTAGCTGTCAATTCACCGATGCTGTGGTGGCCCCATGTGGAAGCAGAAGCGGAGGTGGCAATCAAGCACAGGTGTTCACAGGTGTTCGTAGGTAGTCCCCACCCGTTCAACACTTAACCCCTTAATGACGTGGGGCAATTATCAGGGTACGTCAAACTGAATGACCTTTCAGAGTCATCATAAACATGTGCTTTTAGAATTTCCTGCCCGCCCCCAGCACCCCATCTTCCAGAAGCCTCATCACGCCTTCTCATCCTACTCTGTTAAGACAGGCATGTTGGCACTGTTCCAGTGGATCAGTGGATCACTGTTCCAGTGGATCAGTGTTCAAAGCCAGCTTCAGCCACACAGTGAATACAAGGCCAGCTTGAGTTACGTGATATCCCATGTCAAAACTCAAACCAAACCAATCAACCAACAAGCAAAAAAAAAAAAAAAAAAAAAAAAAAAAAGGCATCAATACTGCCAATCATCGCCTTCATTTCTTTTCAAGTCTCAAGGAAAACACTATCAAACCCTAAGAATTTCCACCTGCCACGTACAGAAATGGCATCAACCACACAGCAGACATGAGGTCAAGACACCCGCCGGTCTGGTTACAGTGCTCTGTAAGGTCCTATTAACTCTCTTGTCCACACACTCGGAAGTCAGATGATTCCCAGCTCTGCAGCTAGAAAGACACAGCTCTGAGCTGCCAGGATGTGGAATTACACAAATGAAACCAAAATCTGTCCTTTCCGGTCCTTTCATTCAACAAAGATCGCTCTTCCCAGCTCCAGCATGCCTGTCTGCCTGCAGATAGAAGAGTATTTACAGTCATAAACCAAGGGAAGGCTTGGCTAGACACCAGAGGGCAGAGATGAGTGTGAGTCTCCTTCCTTTGTGAGTCTAAAAGCCAGCACAGCCCCTGGCTGAAGGAACCTGCAGCCCATCAGTACCATAAAAAGCACAATACACACACCTGCTTTTTCCTCCTTTTAATTTTGCAAAGGCCATATATATGAACTAAGATTGAATTAAGACAGAGGTATAAAATTTTCATTTCAAAGTCAGCTAGTGATTTTGCAGATTTCTCTTTTATATGGTTAGTTACAACCGCAAACCCGTTGGCCTGAAAGAGACCTCAGCCATCAGCAGATTAAGCTTTCCACTACAGACCAGGAGAGCGAGCCCACCACAGGAGGATCAGTGTCTGCCAAGGTCATCCAACTGGTGTCGGGTGGTGACTGGAGCTCGCTTCGATTCACTGGGGTTCTACCAAATGTTCTCTAACCCCCACCCCCGCAAAACAAAAAGAAAAACAAACAAGTGCACAAAGAACGCAACCCCTCATCAGGCCACAGCTGAAAATTTCCAAGGAACCAAAACAGTCCCCCCAACGAGTCTCCTCCGCAGGACTGGCCGCAGAGAGGGGGCGGGGAAGGTCAGCAGCAAATTTCTAGCGGCAGAAATCTACCCACTCTCACACCGCACGCCTACCTACATGGATGCACCGGGAGGGTTCGCAAGCCTCCAGTGACCCTGCAGAAGGTTCCCAAGACAGTCACGGGCGACACGGAGTCAGTTCAGCTCTGTCGGCTCAGAAGGTTCCAGCAATGAATTAAAAACCCAGAACTGAGAGGCATGGAAGAAGGCTACCCCGGCTGGACCTGCCACTCGTCCTCACCAGCCACGCGCGTCCACACCTGCGCCGGCCGCAGGGGGCCCCGGGCCGCGACCATCCGCCCGCGTCCCCTCGCGGGCGCGCCTGGCGTCGCACGCTGGGGAAGAGCCGCTCGGCCTGGCATGTGCGTGGGCAAAGGCCAGTGCCTGGGTTCCCCGGGGTCCGCTACGCCGACAGGGGCTGCGCCACGTACCTCGGCAGGCAGGTGCCGCTGCTTGCCTTCGCGGCTTCTGCGGCCTCCGCTCCGCGCCGCCCGCAGCCTCCGTGCGCATGCTAGGGAACGAGCGCTGGCCAGCCGCCAGCCCCGGGCCCCGCGCCCCAGCCCTCCCCCCGCGCAGCGATCGCGCCCATTCAGCCCCGGGACTGTCCGCTCCCCCGCGCCACTGCGGAGGAGGGGGCGGGGTGGGGGCGGAGGCGGGGTCGCGCGTCACGAGGACGCGGGAGGCCAATCAGGACGCGCGGAGCCGCACAGAGGCCCCGCCTCCGAGCGGGCAGCCCCCTCCGTCCACTAGTGCGATGGGGAGCGGGGCGTCTCCAGCCGGTAAGCGGCGCGGGCGCGAGGCGGCCTGGGACGTGGGTGCCCCGCGCCTCGGGCCCTCCCCAGCTCTCTCCAAGCTCGCGCCTGATTAGGTGGTGGAAGGCGCTCCGGGGAAGCAAAGAAGCTCTGGACCGGTTGGGGGCTTTTGAATGAGCATCCAGTTAGGAATCGCACAGCCAGGGAATGAAGGGGCTTGACGTGCTTTATTCACCAGCTTTATTCACGTGCTTTATTCACCAGCAGCTCACTGGTCTTCAGTTACTGGTCCTGGGTTCCTGAGTCCCACGAGGCAAACCCAAGAACAGGCTAGACCAGCGGTTCTCAACCTGGGGTGAAACTACCCTTTCACAGTAGTCTAAGACCACTGGAAGACACAGATATTTACATTATGAAATGTAGCAAAATTACAGTTATAAAGTAGCAATGAAAATATTCTTATGGTTGGGAGTCAGCACAACATGAGGAACTGTATTAAAGGGTCACAGCGTTAGGAAGGTTGAGGACCACTGGGCTAGATGGATGTCACAGTGCTAGTTACTCAAGCCAACCAACTTCTTTTAACAGAAGGGGGAAATGAAGTCTGGGATGGGGTGGGGGTGAACAGCTTTTAAGTCAATTGGGGGCATTCGGGGGCAGAAGCTGGATCAGAACCTGGGCTTGGAGCACTCAAATCCATTTGTCTGAAAACTACTGACCCCCTCGCCTCCCCCACCTTATTCTGAAAAGGAAACGTCATGCAATTAAAAAAAACAAAAAACAAAAAAAAAAACAGTAAATCTCAAATTGGGGCCGTTAAAGATGCCAAAAACTGGACTGGATCTCCCTTTTAGGGTATTTCTTCCCATGATCCTCTAAAAAAGCCGACAAGAAGGGAATCCAAACCACAAAGTAAATGGCATTATAATGAAGCCAAGTTCTGAGGATGGGGACCCTTGGTAAGTGCACATGTGTGTTGGGAAATGCCCTGGTGCCTTAGTCTCTGCTGTACTGGAACCGCTCGCCTTCAGCCTCAAGAACATTTAACCACAAAGGGGCGTCTGAAGTCAGGAGGCGTTTCCAAGATACAGCTCTGACTTTCTTGGTTACTGCATATCAAACTCCTTTTTGAGGCTGCTCAGGGTCCCATGATAGATCTTACGCCTTTGTGTCAGCTGAGAAAATTGAAGCTTTACAGGGAGAGTTGGGCCAGGGTTTTACCACAGCTGGTCAGGCTGCACAAGCAGGAAGGGGTTAGAACTCCTTTCTCCCGGATCCACTGAGCATGGTGTATATCTTTCACAAAAACAAACAAACAAACAAACAAACAAAAAACACCCTCTCATTTTTGAGAGGAACATCCTAGACTGGAGGCTTTTTTTTTTTTTTTTTCAATAGCTCGGCTCAGAGCAACTGACACATCTTTGTTCTTTCCCCAGGGTGGAGAGTAGGGAAGGAAGCCTGGGGGTATGAGGGGTGCCTTCTGTGTAGTCAATGCCAGGAGTAAAAACATAGGCAAGAATAGGGCAGGTGGATTCTACTTTCATGGCTATCCAAAAAAGTAAATCTGGATGATTTTAAAGTGAGGACACTGGGAATATTCTAGAAAGGGAAGAAAAATGGAAGAAAGCTTGACATATGGCAGCCTAAAAGCCAGTGGATTGGCCGAGGCTGGTCAGACAGAGCAGCTGGCAAGGAGTGGCAACAGCTGCAAAGAGAATGTGGAGCACTGCACCCCCTTCTGGGGCCTGCCTGTGTGATCAGATGCTCCTGACATCTTTGGTCTCTCTCACATCTCCCTGCATGGAGCCCCACCCTCCTAGCAATAACGACTGCCCTGGGAGCTGGGCAAACCTTGACCTGCAAAGATAGGTATAAATTGGGTGCAACAAAAGATAAGATTGGACTCTGCCTCTTAGCCTCACTGGACATCTGGTTAAGCATTCATGAGCTCACTCACCTGGTTCACGCTTAGTGAAGGAAGATAACAAAGTCTCCCAAAGTCCGCAGATAACACAGTAGAATCAGCCACTAACTAGATCTCAAAGGGTTACTGGCTGGCATCAGAGACCGACCCTTCCAGACTTCGGACAGCGCACAGGAGGACTATTAACAAATCAAAGACAGCTGCCACAGCCTCCTAAACTCACTTTTACCATATGCTTACTACTTTAGTTAATCTGAGGAGAGGAATTATGGGTGTTATGACAGCCTCCCGCTCTCCCCTTGTGTGTGGCAATATCCAGTTTAGGTAAGTTTGTCTCACTGTTGGTTCTATAAGTGAGTTATCTTTTATTTATTCATATATATTCATATAGAGAGAGAGAATAAGAGAGAGAGAGAGATAGTTGGTCTGTGGCCTCCTGAGTGTCTAGAGAATCAAAACTATCATGTAATAACCTCATGATACAAAAGGTAAACAAAACTGCCCATCACTAATCAAGATAACATAGCCAGTTGAGGGGGATGGTACATGAATGGAACCCCAGCATTCTGAAGTAGAGGCAAAAGGATCAGAAGTTCAAGGTCATCTTCAGCTACACAACCAGTGTGAGGACATAAGACCCTGCTACAACAAAACAAATCACAGCACCAAATTATCAAGAGGGGCTTGTGGGGCTGTGGCCATGTGACTCCAGGTCTAGGGATCCAGAACCCTCTTCTGGCCTCTTGGGCACTATATGCATGTGGTACTCAGACACACATTCAGACAAAACACTCAGACAAACAAAATAAAATCCTTTTTGTTTTAAAGATCCTTGAGTATAAGCTGGGTGTGGTGGCACACGCCTTTAAGCCCAGCACTCAGGAGGCAGAGGCAAGCAGATCTCTGTGAGTTCGAGGCCAGCCTGGCCAGCTGTTTGCTGAGCTATGTCTCCAGCCAGAAAAAAACATTTTTAAAAATTCCTTTAATAGTGTGTTTGTTGTGGGCATGTATACAGACCCACAAGTGTGCCCACAGAAGCTCTCACTCCCATCTTACCTGTTTTAGGCAGGATCTCCTAAACAAATTGGAATTTTGCTGTTTGTCAGGTAAATCCTCCGGCCACCAAATCCCAGCAGTCTCCCCGTCAGGTGCCCAGCAATTACTAGTGAACTTCACAGTAAGTACTCTTCCTGCCTGAGCCACCCCCTACCTCCCCTGAGCACCACTCATTCCTGAGAAAGGCAGCTGACAACGGCACTCTGGCTAAAGTAATTGAAAGTTACTTTCTTGAAAATAAGCTAAGTAATGCTATATCTTTAAGGAAAATCATTAACCATGTGTTGTCAATAAAAAGTGAATCCCTATGAGTGTAATGGGGTTTTGTTGTTGTTGTTTTAGCATGTAAGGATTCTTTTTTTTTTCTGCTGAGCTTAACAGTACTATTAATGAACACAGCAACTGGGTGATGTATCATGACCTTCAACCTTCAAAGACCTGTGTTTGCTCAGTGCGTCACGAAGACAATGGGCTGAACAATATGACAAGCTCATGGTTTCGGATTCCATCTTGCAACACATCCATAAGAAACTACCTCGTGGCCTGGCGAGATGGCTCCGACGTTAAGAGGATGCCCTGTTCTTGCTGAGGAACTTTAGGGTTCCCAGAACTCCAGCTGGACAGCTTACAGCTCCTACCCGGTAACTCCTTCAGCTCCAGGGGATCTGACCTGCTCCACCAGTCTCGGGGCACCTGCACAGGCTTGCACAGAGTAGCACGCACTACACACAATAAATCTTTTTTTAAAGCAAATATTTCATGCAGTATTGTAGTGTATGCATTTTTTAGATATGTATCAGAGAATATTCATTAACTATCTTAAAATGGTACTAAAATGCTCTAGTTACACATCAGCATGAGGTTCAATTTTTTTATGAAGATCAACAATATGCAAGACATTAAAGATAGGAGCAGGTGTATTTGACTAAGGAACACCTAAAATTAGATTTGCAAAAAATGTTTTACAGAAAACAAAACAAAACAAAAAAAAGTGAGTAGTACTGTGGAGGTAGATCTGGAAGAACAGGGAGGATGAATATGATCCATTGTATAACATTCTCAAAAAAATTATTTTTGGTTTTTTGAAACAGGGTTTCACTGTGTAGCATTGGCTGTTCTGGTACTCACGCTGTAAACCAGGCTGGCCTTGAACTCAGAGAAATCTGCCTGTCCTGCCTCCCAAGTGCTGGGATTAAAGGCGCATACCACCATGGCTCAAAAAATTAATAATAGTATTGTTTTAAAAAGAAATGAATGCTGGGTCAAAAAGAAGGAAAGAAAAGAAAAAAAAGAAGTGTTTTGTTGTTAGTATATTTTATAACTGTTATCACACGATGGCCTTCTTTTATTTAATCTCTGCATGTATGTGTTCTCTGAGGGCATGTGTGTGCGAGTGTTTTCTGTGTTTGTGTATGTGTTTTCTCTCCCTCTCTTTCTGTGTGTGTATGTGTTCTGTGTGTGTGTTGGAATCTTGTATGTATACATTCTTCAGCACATGCAATTCTCTGCGTATATATAAAGGTCAGAATGGGACACAGGGTGTTTCTGTCGCTCTCCACTTTATTGCCCCGAGATAGCATTTCTCAGTGAATCTGTAGCCAGGCTGTCCAGTAAGCTCCTGGGGTCAGCCCTTCTCCCACCACAACAGTGGTGGCATTGCACAGCTTTCATGTGGGCGTTGGGGGTTTGAACTCAGGTCTTTATAGTTACTCAGCAAGTACTCTTTTCCACTGAGCCACGTCCTCAGTCCCTATTTAATCTAGTTTTAACTATTTTTCCCATGCTGGAAATCCAGGACCCTATCTGATTAGACAAGCACTTGCCACTGAGCAATACCCCAGGCCTATGTTTATTATTTTAAACAAAGTATTGAACATTATTTTGGTTTTGGAAGGAAGGTGTTGTTGTTTTAGATTTGTGTTTAAACAGGGTCTCATCCTGGCTGGCCTAGAACATCCATGTAAACCAGGGTAGCCTTAAACTCACAGAGCTCTGCGTGTCTCTGCATCCTGAAGGCTAACTTAAAGTTGTATTTAATCACACCTGATGTCATAAATATTTTAAAATACCTTCAGTTTTAATTTCTTTTTCTTTCTTTGTTTTTCACTTTTTGAGTTTTTGTTTTTGTTTGTTTTGGTTTTTGAGACGGGGTTTCTATAGCCCTGGCTGTTGTGGATTATGCTCAGCAAACCAGGCTGGCCTGGAACTCAGAGATCCATCTGCCTCTGCCTCCCAAGTGCTAAGACAAAAGGCATGTCCACCACCTCCAGGCCACTTTTAATTTCTAATTGGGCAACAAACATGAGGTAAAGTCTATATTTAGAAATTTTTTGGTAGTCTCCGTAATTTCTAGAAATAGAAAGGAGTCCTACCACAGGCCACAGGACCAGAATGACCTAAGGGAAATCTACAGAAATGCTTCCATTTCCTGCTAGCAGGGAGTAGCCTCAGAGGAAGTAGAAAAAAATAGCCATCTGGACTATAAGAAAAGTAGACCTGAAGAAGAAAATAATGCTGTAGAACACAGAGTACAAAGATTAGAAAGAAAACATTTCCTTTTTGGCATTTTTGACTTATTAGATTAAGCCAGTCCTGGAACCCTCCCTGCCTCCCTACATTCTAGTTATATGAGGCTATGGGTTCCTCTGTGGATTGAACTATCTACCCTCAAGTTCCCCAAGGGATAGTCTGTGTGTATTTGTTTGTGCATATTTTTAACTAAACAAGTGCCCAGGACCTCAACTCATTCTCCTAGAATTCCTTCATTCTACCATCATTTATGTGATACAAGTCAGCTCTGGAATGAACTGGGAAGGTGAGGGGCAGAATGTGGGAGGAAAGAGACCTGAAAAAGAAATGGGGTGGACACGGTGGCAAATAAGTCTGACGGCAACGCTGTCTCTGTATGTAACCCTGACTGGAACTCACTGTGGAGCCCAGGGAGAGGGAAAGAAGGGACAGAAGGTTCCTCAAACTCTTGGCAATACTCCTGCCTCAAGCACCCTGGGTGCTAGGATTACAGGGTCTGCACCACCATAACCAGCATATAACATTTTAACATTTTTCTTTGGCTTTTCTGTATTTTTTTAAAAATTTTTTTTACATAAAATCAAAATTGCTTTGACTCAGAGGAACAAATCAAATATATAGTACCACTTTTTCAAAAGCCCCAGACTGAGGGCAGCTTGGGCTCAGGACAGGACAAGTGGACTCTCCACATAGTTAGCAGAAAAGAAAGAAGAGCTTCTCTGTGATGCAGATGGCCCAGAAAACAAACTCCCTTTCTCTCACAGCTTTGCCAGGACCCAGCCTCAAAGATGGCAGCCGGGAACAAGAATGCTCCAGGGATAAGGGATCATTAATTATGCCTGAATCCACACAGCTGGTATATTTGCAGTTCAAAGGACAAACACACACAAACAATGGAGACCAATGTGAAAACTGTATACTAATACTAGGAGAAGATCTAAAGAGAGTATTAAATGCTAAATTTAAAAACAGGAGCTGGGCATATAGCCCAGTTGCTTGTCTAGGATATATGAAGCCGTGAATTCCGTCCCCAGCATGGCCTAGACTAGGCATCGTGGGACCTAGCTATCATCCCCTTCAGTACGGAGGGACATGAGGATTGGTTGACGGTCATTTTTTTTCCCTACATATCGAGTTCAAACCAGCCTGAGATACACAATATCCTGCCTAAAAGCACATAAATAAATAAACAAGATATGCTGGGTGTGGTGGCCCAAGCCTTTATTCCCTGCAATACGGAGGTGGAGACTCCTGTCAGTTCAAAGCCAACCTGGTCTACATAGTTACTCTGTCTCAAAAAAGAAAAGGAAAGGAAAGAAGAGAAGAGAAGAGAAAAGAAAAGAAAAAAAGAAAAGGAAAGGAAAGAAAAGAAGAGGGAAAGACAGACACAGATTTCATGCAGCTAACTTTGTAGCCAAAACCCAGAAGAGACTGAAAAAAATTAAACACTGTGGATGTCAGGACTTGGTGTTTGATTCCTTTAAACAATTCTATTTAATGTTGTTATGTTATTGTTGTCGTTTGCAATAAACAAAAGCTCAGAGAGGCGTCGGGACAGTTTGCTGAGGTCTCCAGCTTCTCCAGATGGCCTGCCGAAGGCTCCTAGGAAAGAAGCGGGGCTTCCCCTGAGGCCTCTGCCTTCAAAGCTATTAGGACAGCTGCTGGTGGGATCATTCTGTAAGAAGCAGAAGGAAAAGGGGACAGAATGTGCCCCAGCCCAGACTGAGGGTGTGTCCATGTAGGGGTGTAAGGAATCCCTTATCCTCTGACTCTACCTTACCCTGGGATCCAGGGCTAGGTTCATTTTACTGAAGCAGCAACATTATGGTGTCAATTGATCCCAACTGAGTTCCCTATTTCTTCCTCAGACTCTCAGGGATAGGAGTTCTGTGACAGCCAATACCGCTGCTCTCCCTGAGCACAAAAGAAGTTGGTCCTTTGAGGTTTTTCTAGGAATGTTTTCTGTGAGCAGTCACCAGAGAAGGGAGCCAAATAAACAAAGGGAGGGAAAAGAACTTGAATAAAACTCCATGGAAAAGCTGCCAGTGGGCAGAGGGAAGCAAGGATGGAAGAAATGCCCCCACAGGGACCCAGTCACGTGGCAAGTGTGAGACCCAGGAGGTTAGGTTCAGGCACATTCAGGCAGGTCTCGAAGCCCTCTGTCTGTCCTTCCTTCACCTGGGCATTCTTCACACTCCTTTGTAGAGTACCTGTCATGCACCAACCAGTATGCAAAGTCCCTTCTTTCACAACTGGCTTCAGTCTGTCTTCATGACTCTGTTCTGAGGTACAGCCTTCCTTTCCCCGTACTCTAGGGGTATTTAGGTCAATGAAAGAAATTGCTGGTGTTTACCTGTTTAAGAAGAAGCAAAGCCAAGATCTGAACCCTGGGAATTTGGCTCAATTGTCCAAATTTTGCCAGGCAAGTGTGAGCATTTGACTTTAAGCCCCAGGACCACATGGAAAGGTAAAGGCCATGTCTGGTGATGGCTGCTTGGACTTCCAGGGCTGGGGAAGTAGAGACAGGGGGATCTCTGAGGCTCATTTTTCAGCCAGCTGAACCTAACTGGTGAGTCCCAGGCCACAACGAGAGAATGCATCCAAAAACAAACAAACAAAATCCCCGAACACCCAAGGCAGATGGCTCCCGAAGAATGCATGCGGTTGACCTCTGGTTTCTACATGTACATGCATATATGCATACCTACACACAGATTTGAAACCATAAGATTTAAGCCTACCCGAGTCACAGTCCTGAAGGACCAAAGGGGCTAACTGAAGAGAAAGACATTCCCAAGCAAGGGCACAAGCAAGCACGACCTATTAACTGAGAGCCTCGGTGGCACTGAGGCCTGAGCTGCGTCTCAGAGCTGAGGGACAGCTCTTGGGCTGTTGGAGACCAGCATGCTCTCCGGGTGTGAAATCATCCGCAGACTTGGAGACGAAGGGAAGAATCTTTAATGGTGCTTCTGAGGCCCAGGAAAGAGCTGCCTCGAAAAGGAGATCTCACTAACTCACACACAAACATCCGACGCTTCTGCCTTCCACATACACTGTCATCCTTAGGCCTCCTTCAGGTCCCGGCTCCAGGGTTCACTTGGAACAATTTAAGCAGAGACAGGAGACTTCGAGTCTGAGCACTTGGGCAGTTATTGCCAAAATTCTTTCTTTTCT